CAGCATTGTGGGTCGTCAGACCAAACTAGTCAGTTTATGTCAGAGCTTGCCCTGATAACTTTTGGAAACTGATACCCTCCCATAAACCAAGACTATAGTCCCATTAACAATTTTTCTCCAATGAAGTAAATAAAATCAATTTATACCTACCATTTACCAGGCACTTCAGTACCAAATACTATGCTGTTTTCCAAAAGAACCTCATTTCATCCTTGCAATGTCCCCTGGAATAGAGGCAATAACTCCATTTTATATGTGAGGAAACTAAGGTTGCCTGAGCAATTTTCACAAGGTCACATAGAGTATTAGTTAGGAGCGTGTTCAGCTACAAGAATAGCAGAGTGGGGTTTTTTTGTCTTTAACATAAAAACAAGTCAGAAGGTAGGAGTAGTCCATAGTTCAGATGATCCACATTGCTACCAAAATACCTTGTCTTTTCTCCCTACCATCAGCCGGAAGCTCCTACAATCTTATGTTCCCTATAATGTTCTCTTTAGTCTTGTCTTAAAATCTCATCAGCCAATATTTTTTCAAGCTTTACTTTTTGAAATATTTCAGAGCTCATACTACTCACTGATTTCATAGACAGGGAAGAGAGATTTGCACCTAGCAAGTTATCTGAGCTAATTAGTGAAGCCAGCCTGTCAACCATAGTTCTTTCCACCATACTAATTTTGTGGTGACTACAAGTTGCCCACCAAAATCTGTTCTCCCTTTTCCTCTTGACACATGGCTTCATTCCATTTCTTAGCCTCCTGGGTGTGGCCACATGACTAAGTTCTGGCTTCGGGGAAATGAGAAGTAAAGTACCACTGGAAGGCTAGGCCTGGAGGCCCTGTGTGTTCTGCTCTGTGCTCTTTTTCCCCTTCCTAAGGGCTGCAGCCAGTGGTCACCCAGCTTGGACCATGGCAGGGATGGAAAGGAAACATGATATAAGGAAACTGTGTCCCCGAGTGACCGCTGGGACAGTTTGGACCTGTCCCACTGACCTAGACTGCTCACTTCAGAAATGTTAACTCCCTTCAGAGCTGTTATGTGAGAAACAAACGTCTTTGTTCTTTTAGTCACTGTATTAAAGACTGTAAGTCTCTTTGTTGCAGCAGCTTACCCTTGTACCAATACAACTATTTGCAAGGCTATTCTGAGTACGTACAGTTTTCATTCCATCTCTTTGTACATTTTCAGAATAGTATTACAAATGATCAGTTAGCCACCTTTTAAAAAAATAATAATAATAAACAGTTCTAATGACCCAAGTAGGTGATAAATAATGAAATTCCTTCCTGTGGCTACTATCACCCAAATTTCTTCTTCCTGGTTAAAAGCTATTTAATGAATAAAGCTGATCATTTAGAGACCCACTTAGATTTCAGGCAATCAACTCAACAGATATTTGATTTCTAAATAGGTTATTGCAATTATAAAAGTTTGCTTTCTAATTATTTTATGTTGTGTTTTAAAGAGAAAAATCTTGTCAAATGTGGAACTGCGGCTAAGAATACAAGTAATTGCTGAGAGTTACAAAGGATCAAACTATATACCCAGACCATAGATGAACTGTTCTCTTGCTTAGCACTAAAAATTAAGGAAAATCTTTAGACTAAGAATCTAGTTCTTTTCAAAATATCTCCCACTTGCTTAAATGTGTTGTCTGAACCGCAGACATTGTATAAAGCCTAGTCAAGATTCTCACATGTCAATTATATTTCAGTAAAGAGATTCTTACTGACAGAGCTAGGTGAGCCTAATAGCTCACTGAGTGTTAGAACAAATTACCAGAGAGAGCACTGCTATAAGGTGGACACTGGATACCTACATCAAAGGGATTAGCTGAAGTCAGGGCACAAAATGGCCTTCCAAATTCTCCTTACGGGTTGCGGCAGAGAGCCCATAGCTGGTCTCATGGTCCTTTCCTGATCCCAAACAAGATATATTTTGAGGTTTACTAGTGATTGAGATTTGAATGAGAGACCTGAGTTTTTTTCCTGGCTTTACCACAACTTTGTGACCATGGAACATTCACATTTTGGGTATCAGTTTCCCTATCTACCCAAGAAAGTGCTAAAGATTCTTTCATCTCTATATTTGAACAATCTCTGGGAAGAACTGCTTTCCTTCCTGACCCTCAACAGCAGTCATTCAGAGAAGGAGAAATTACCTCAGGACACTGACTCAGACCAAGGTACCAAGCAGATTTCTAGAAGTTCTGACTTCCCAAGGCATTCTGCTGCTGGTGAAGGAATTCCATATTGCTGACTTTAGTTTCTAAGAAGAATACAATGTTTTAAACCTAGCAGGTGCTTCATTAGGCACTTTTATTTTTTTCTTTCAAGAAATTTCTGGTTTCTGTCATAGGAAAAACAAGTTCAAGTTACCATTGCAGTTATTTCAGATGGAAGGATTAAAGGTTTTCTGAGATAGGATTATTAAAACTAGTTTTTCCTGCTAGTTCATTGAAACTTTTTTCAGCTTTAGAACATATTTAGCAACTTGAGTCAAGAGCATTTAAGAGAGACTAAGGTTCCACCCTAAAACCAGACAGCTTAACACAGTGCTCAACAACTTGAGTGGTTTAGTCCACTGTCTCACCTCATTCCCAGCACTGCCACTTACTAGCTGCACTCCTTTGCTAAACCTCAGTTTCCCCACTGATGAACTGGAAAAGAAATAGCATCTTCCTCTCGGGGCTGTGAGAAAAGATAATGTATATAAAATGCTTGGCAGCTGAATGAAGTTCAGTATACAAAAATGAGTGATCCCTGCTTATAGCCTGGGGTCAATCTGGGGGCTCTCAGGTGGGTGACTAAGGTTAAAAACAGGACATCTGACAGAGATGACAGGAGAAATCCAAGCATACCTGGTATTGCCACACTGGTATTACCACCAGGTAAGGTGACAGATTAAGACTTTACATGCTATCTTTTCGGTAAGGAGTGAAAATACAAATATATACTTGTAATTTGCTTGGTTTTGCCTTTAACAACTCGAGAAATATGTAAGACACTATAAAGTGATTACCTTTTTTTTTAAAGATTTATTTATTTATGCATACAAGAACTGGGGTACAGGCCAGAGGTGTGGGGGGTGGGTGAGAGGATTCACCAGAGACAGTGTGGGGAACAGAACAGGCAGATTGACAGAAATACACTGCTGAGGGGAGTAGCGGGCGAGTCAGGAGAGGTCTGCTGCACCATGTGGGTAGCTCCTTGGCCAGGGATCGAACTCATGCTGCAGTGGCTGTGGATAGCTCATAGGTTGCATCTTAACTCCTTGTGCCACCAGGGAGGCCTTTAAGTGATTATCTTTGAGGGAAGAAGGGAATGGAGACAGGAACAAGATTTCTCCCAAATGTCTTTTTATATCATTTTGATTTATGAACTATGCAACAACTCTAGTGAAAAGTACTTTTAAAAGATGTTTTAGGGCCTCCCCAGTGGTGCAGCGGTTGAGCGCTGGGTTGCGAAGCTGCCCGCAGCCTCTGCAGCTCCAGTAGATCACCGGCCTCTGGGTGAGGGTCCCACATGGCGCGCAGACCTCTCCTGCCGCCCGTTGCTCCCCTCAGCGTGTACTTCGTCAAGTCTGCCTGCTCTGCTCTCCGCTCTGTTCTGGTGGATTCTCTCACCCTCCCGCGCTTCTGACTGTACCCAGTGCTTGTATGAATAAATGAATTTTTTTTTTCTGTTTTTAAAAAGATGTTTGAAAAAGTACGTGGGAGGGATGATGGACTTTAGCACTGTTTAAAAAGGTTAATCAAGTTTGAGAGTTCTTTACTTTGTCCTCTCCTTGTCTACTTGGCTAACAATACAAGACTTACCAAGAATTGTTTTTTAAGGTCCAGCAGAAATGTTCCTTCTTCCCACCATCACTTCCTGTCCCCTTCAAAGTGATATTCTACACAGCTCTTGGTCTTTGACTTCTCTTACCTAGAATGGTTGTTTGTGTATATATACATTATTTAAAAGCTTCTGGAAAGCAAGAATCACATCTCATTTTATTTCTAATTTCCCCCAGACCAGTCCAAGATCTCTCATATAGTTGATTCTGAACAAATAAAATACTGCTTGAGTGGGGAGTTACTGCTTAATGGATAGGGAGTTTGTTTGGGGTGATAAAAATGTCTTGGAAATGGTGGTGGTAACTATGTAACTTTGAAAATAATGTTGCTATATGCTTAACTTTGTGTTAGACACATAACATATATAAACTTAACGGTGCTCAGGCCTCCCTGGTGGCATAAGGGGTTAAGCACTGCACTATGAAGCAATCTGCAGCCTCTGCAATATGAGTTTGATCCCCCACCAGGCAGCAACCCAAATGGCACACAGACCTCTCCTGCCTTGCACGCTGCTCCCCTCAGCAGTGTATTTCAGTCAGTCCACCTGTTCTGTTCCCACTCTCTCTGGTGAATCCTCTCACCCCCCACATCTCTGGCTGTACCCCAGCTCTTGTATGCATAAATAAATCTTTAAAAAAAAAAAAACCTTAACACTGCTGCCAGCAAAGGTCACTTCAGAGGGAGTTCCAACTGGAAATACCTTAAATCTCTAGTAAAAGTCCTCCAAATATCTTCCAGGAATATACTAAGTGTTCCATAAACACTTGCTTTAAAAAAAAAATGATAGCAGGGCCACCCCTGGTGGCACAGGTGGCTGAGCGCCGTGCTGTGAGGCTGTCTGCAGCCTCTGCAGTGCAGGTTCGATCCTGGCCGGCAGGCAAGATGCCCACATGGTGCAGCAGACCTCTCCTGTCTCGCCAGCTGCTCCCCTCAGCAGTGTATTTCATCAGTCTGCCTGTTCTGGTCCCCGCTCTGTCTCTGGCAAATCTTCTCACCTTTCCACATATCTGGCCTATACCCTGGTTCTTGTATAAAGAAATAAAAATCTTTTTTAAAAAATGATAGCATACTCATATGAAGAGTGGCAAGTGTGAGGAAAAGCCATCATGTTGATAACAGAGCATATTGTATATAAGATAGACATGAATTCATTCATTCATTCACTCATATTTAAGGACTACAGAGGCTCTTGCAAACTTTTTCTTTATTTACTTTTCAATAAAAATAGATTCTTAATTCAACAGAGAGCAGCGACAATAATTATCAAACAACAATTATCAACAAATGCCAAAGTCTTTAGTTTTCAAGTCCCATGTCACAATTACCTTGGTCTGATTCTCTCCTTTGCTACAGAATTCCAAGAAAAATGGTTTGGGTCATCTTACTCTCCTACCAGGGCTGGTTCTTTCCTGCCACTCACTCAAATCCAGAACTCCTGATTTGTGGCTTCCAATGCTTCAGTCCTTTATAAAATTGTACAGAAATTTGCTATTTTTAGCCAGATTCTGAGACATAAAGCTTGTTTTTTAAGGAATATAGCGAATCTTGGTATTTATCACAAAAAAGATCCTCAAGTAAAAAGGCAATCTGTGCCTTAAAAAAAAAAGGATCCTATAACATTAAAAAAAAAAAAAATCCCTTCCTAATTACCAGACATATCAGCCACACAAGTAGTTGACAAAATCTGCTGCTTCCATGACAGAGAACACGAGTTTAAACCACACCACTGAGTGGAAGAAAATGGTGGGAGCTTTCTGCACAGCACTCCTCAGTCCAGAATGAGAGACAGATACAGCCCTTCTTCCAGAACTGGATTCCTGCCACCTTTCCAAAGGCCACTGGACTTGTTTTTTAAACACTGGACTTCAGCTCTTCATCATTCTGCCCTGGGGATCCCTTCTCTTTAAGCTCATTGTCACAATCTAGGGAAACACACTGACTTTCTATGGGGGTGATGGCATCTGAGTCCAGTCTTCTTCTTTTCTTCAGTTGGTACACATGGGATTTGGACTTTATATGTGCTAAAACAAAACCAAAACAAACAAAAAGTCATTAGAATTTTCTAGACTTAATCCTAGCAGTGCATAAGATTAACTACACAATTCTTTAACAACAGGATTAACACATGCATTGATATTGCTACTTTTTTGCATTTAATTTTTTTCCTATTTATTTTTAAACATACTTGTTTATTTTTTCACAATGCAGAATGTCCCCCCCTCAGGTGCAATCACATAGTTTTCCACCACCTAAGTGCCCACAGTCCTCCACCACACTCTACTGTACTTTCTTCCTCCATTGTTTTCTACTCTCCCCTTCTATCTCCCCACCCCCCACTGAGTGTCTCAGATCTACAGTCTCCTTTCAAGGGACAGCCTTACAGTTTATCTTTGTCTGATCCTGTTTGGTTTCTCTAGATTCATAAGTGAATCCATTGGTATTGATCTTTCTCCTTATAGGTCACTTAGCTTAGAACAATCCCTTCCGGTTTCATCCACGTTGCCACAAATGACATGAGTTTATTTTTTTTTGATCACTGAGTAGTATTCCACTGTGTATATATACTACAACTTCTTGATCCTATAAACACAGGTGTGCAGATTTCCTCTCCAATGAATTTTTTGTGCTCTTTGGAAAGATAGCTAGTAGTGGAATTGCTGGGTCATATGGTAAATCCATTTACAGTCTTTTGAGGAATCTCCACACTTCTTTCTATAGGAGCTGGACCAGTCTACATTCCCACCAATAGTGTAACAGGGTTCCTTTTTCTCCACACCCTCACCAGCACACCAGCAAATCAGAGAAACCTACCATGTATCAAGTGAATCCTTCTAGGTGCTTTATGTCACTGATCCTTCACAACAATCTTTCAGGACAGTACTATTCAGTTCATTTTTTCATAGAAAGAAACTGAAATTCACAGAAGTCTTAAGAGTTTATCCACGATCACACAGAAGGTAAGCTCTCTGGCTTACCTAGAGCCTCAAAAAAGAGACCCAATTTCCCAGAATCAGGCTTCCAATATGGGGCTGATTCCTGTTACAGACACATTTGAACTTCCACAGTGAAAAAGTCACAAATCCAAATCCTGTCTCTATCTGTCCTGCCTCAGGCCTACAGCACCCAGCGCTGCCTTTCCACTTCTCCCTTGCTAGAACAGGGACATCCATATGCCTGGGTCAGATAAGCCATTTGAAAGACAAACCCGCAAGGCTCATATTCTCCAAGCACACAATGCTCCAGAGAGATAACAAGAAGCATTCTCCTCTGATCACTTTTGAGGGTCCATAGAAGCAGTAAAACTGAAAAGCCACTGCTGCCTGATATCAATTTCTGACCTCTCACCCCAGCAGTCCTAACCTGCTCTGATGAACTCACACTAGCTCCCTTTAAAAACTAACCTATTCTTTCTCAAGAAGATCTTATTTGGGAACACCCAAAGAGAGAGACTAGATTAAGTTCTCTTTTACACATTTATTAAAAACATTTTTAAGGGTTTAGAAGCAAAAATAAGTAAGGAGGAGGTTAGAAGTCAAAGAAAAGTTGAGTTGGGGAGAAAAGTCAGCTTTGTTCTCCAGCTAGTGCCTAAGGCAAAAAATGGGCTTCTGGACTGGCTCTCCATGGCAGCAGGAGATGGGAGCAAGGACTTGACAGATGGCACTATAGAAGGGCTTACACAAGCTAAGCTCACAAAGGCTCACAAATGTTGCTTCTCTAAGGCTATCCCTGAAGGACATTCGACAAATCGAATCACTAAGTTTCCTTTAGAAAAAACAATCCGACACTCTCTTTCTCTTTCCCTTTCATCATTATAAACCAACGACAATCGAGGCTTCTTCTGCTGCTCGGGCAATCACAGCCGTCCCCAGTCTCTGACAATGGAGCTCATTTTGCCAGAGTTACCAGTTAAGAGAACTAATCATTCTATTGGTTGGTATGGGGAGAAAAATCTATTTCTATAAGAATCCCACGCAAAGCAGTGCTCTGAACAGAAGGATTCTAGCTGCTGGGTATACTACAAGCCCTACTATGGCTAAAACGAATGAGTTTCTAAATGCAATGTAAATTCAAGGCTTGGAGGCCAAGGTCCTTTGGACTGATTTGATAACTATAGAAATCTGACAGGGGAGTTCAGCGTGAAGGCAGGGCTAAACCTGGGTTAAACAGTATCTTAAAAAGAAAATACCTTGACTACCTTCTTTACACAAGTCTGACAATCTTACTGTCACAATTTCCCTAACGCTTTTCATTACATAATTTTAACACTACCATTTCAAAGTATTAACTTAAAAATGACAGGAGATACCACTTTTGAAGAATGTACTCATGAGGAATAAATGCACTTCCTGCCCTTCCCAGTTGTTTCTGTTTCTTAATGGTTCCTTGGGTGAGGTGCCTATTAGTTTCCCATATAATCCTATTGATATTTCACCCCCACTGAGATCTAAACAGTAAAGGTCAAGAAGGCAGGATCACGAAAGTCAAAGGAGCTCTGGGAAGTAAACTGCAGACCTCTCAGTATAACATATCTACTTTAGCTCAAGTTGGAAGCATGTGATCTTCCTTTAAAGTTCAGAATAGGGCCTCCCTGGTGACACAACCTAGGAGGCTATCCGCAGCCACTGCAGCATGAGTTCAATCCCTGGCCAGGGAGCAACCCACATGGCTCAGCAGACCTCTCCTGGCTCACCTGCTGCTCCCCTCAGCAGTGTATTTCACTCAGTCTGCCTGTTCTGTTCCCCACTCTGTCTCTGGTGAATCCTCTCACCCCCCCACACCTCTGGTCTAGACCCCAGTTCTTGTGTCAATAAATAAATTAAAAAAAAAAAAAAAGTTCAGAATACAATGTATTTTCCCAATTTGGGAAGATCTCCATGAGGTCTGAGCACAAGCTCTTAGAGAAATCTGGCCATCCCTTTACCAACAAGCATTGAACCTTGCAAAGACCTTGAATCTCATGGATCAGTGGGACCCACCCTTATAGAATTCTCCATGCCTTCCCTACACTCTACCTGCCCATTCTCGGTCCCCAAGGATGATTCGATCGCAGAGGTCACATGTATGATAACTTCTCTTGTTCTCAGTTTCATTGCATAACATCTTTATTGGAGCTGCTGCGGGTTTAAGGCCCTGAAAGAACAAGGGGGGACAGGGAAGAAGCATTCAATTCAAAAAGATTTGGTTATCATTCTCTGATAGTAAAGGAAGTAGGATTTTCCCACAGTTCCTTTTTCTCATCCTGAGAGCTGGTAGGTTGTGAACAGACTTCAGTAAAAACCTTTCTAAATGTGAAAGTAGAAATGTAGCCTTCAGAGACTGAAAAGCAGCCAGCCCTTCTGTGCTGCTCCATGGAAAAGGTGACTTCGTTCCCCGATATAGCAACAAAGGTATCGGCTAAGGAAAGCTATCCGAAAACCAGACAACAAACCGTACCATGATTAATAATCACCTGGATGAAACTTTGCACGATTTCAAGAGCAGGTTCAAGAACAGACTCCTCCCACTTGGAGACATCAGATACTTTTAGACCATACACTGGGGGAACACTGGGACCGGGTCCTAATGATGACAAAGAAAAGGGGTGAGAAGTCAGCCTCTAAAACCCAATCTATTCTGCTCTCAGGACTCCATATTCTCTAGGGAAAGAATCAGGGCCAAAGAAATAAACATTCTGACTATGTCATTCTAACTAGAAGCATGAACCGAAAAGCTACATGCAATCCAAGAAAGATCTAGAAGAATGACTGGCCTAAGCCAAACATGTCTAACTGTATAATCCAGAGATTCAGGTGTAGGATCTTCTATATCACTCAGGAAAACAGAATAGGGTTCTAGCTATAGACCCCTGTGTGAGCTACAATAAAGACTATATCACATGAGGAGAAAAATAACTGTTCAACATAAATGCCTGCCCTAAGTTCTATATCAATTTACAATTGATATATACCACTCTCTGTGGGAATAGAGTTCAGTTTTCTTTAGGAACAGACGCTAATCTCAGGTCTGTACATATCCCTTCAGCAGTCTGGCATTCAGGAAACTCACTGATACCCTACCCACAAAGAAGGACCAGAACAGTTTCAGTCAATGAGCCACTGATTCTGAAAACTATAAAGATGTCGTGGAATTGAACCAGGTGAACTCCTTCTTCTAGGAAACAGATCTAGAGGAATATTCAAGAAACATCCTCTGATAAATACTTCTGAATGGAGGTGCGCCTGGAGGCAGTCAAGAGTATAGCTACAAGCATTTCATCCACTGGAGTCAGCCATGTTTAGTTTATCTGGTAGCTTCCCCAGTCTAAGGACACACCACATTGTCTTCTGCAGTTAGGTGAAGTCAGTGTGCCTAAAGGCAAAGAGCATCGCCCCAAAGACAAAAACATCAAAGTCCTTGGGATGCCAACGGCTGGCAGGTGCTGGTCTTTTGATTGCGCCAACCACAAATAAGATTCTTCATAAACTGGACTGGGCTGCACCTGCCACCACACGGAAAGGTGAGACTGGGAGGGTGCAGGCAGCATCCACAGCACACCTGGCCTTGGCTAAGCTCTGCACCTGTTTCCAGGCCACTCTATATTTTCCTTTCCCCTCTAAGTCCTTTTGTTGGGCTTCTGTGCCCTGTCTAAGCACCTTTCAACAAGTTCTCGGCTCCCAGCTGCTATTTCTGGCTTAGGTCCAAGGCCAAGCTGGGGTGGGGAAGTCCCTCTGGCTTCTTGCCAGAACCATATCCCAGCAGACCAGCCCTGGCCAATCACACACAGCTCCTGATTTACAAGGCAGCTGTGCCTTTCACTCTAGCACCAGGACTGTGCCGGCATACACATGAATGAGGAATGGGCATATGATGCACTGTGCCATCAACCCCTCCTGACTCAGAGACGGGGGAGTTATTGTGGCTTCACCACAGAAGGAAGTTCCAAACCATTACAAAAAAAACATCTTTTGTTACAGACTAATTGTCAGCCCTGGGGAGAAGAGAAGCTGCATTAGAAACCTGCAGGGGTGAACTTCAATTTCAGCTGATGCAAAGACTCCGTCTATCTAACAGCACATGCGAGAAAGCAGGATAGTAGAAGAAAATGTAAAGAGCCCCCGGCCCCAGAACTCCACTGGCTAGCTCTGGCAGAGAGTGAGAGCTGGAGAGAGAACATCAGCAATGCAGTGGTCAAGACGCAAATCAGGGTGTTCATGTTCAAAGACACGAGGAGCAGGGGTGGAGACCTAAGCTGTCCTTATCTGTAATCGGAAGCAGAAGTCCAATGGCAAAGGTAAATAGTGGATGATTCGGAAACATATTAAAAGTGTCCACGAGATAAAGCTGGGGTTTCACTCATGTTTAATCTCCATTAAATTACTCTCCTTTAAGTTCATAACCACACAATTTCTTATCCAAGGCCCAATACTAATGCTGTCCAGCTAAAATTATAGCTAAAGGAAATAAGAAGAAAGTTATGAAGAATGTGGACTTTAGAGTCAGGCCCATGTTCAACACTCTACTACTCTTTAGCCGGGAAGTTTCTGGCAAGTTATTTAACCTCTTTATTTAACTTCTCCTTTTCCTTATCTGCAAAAAGAAAAGACTTGAAGACTCTATAACATATTGACAGCAGCAACTTTAGTGCCAAAGATATAGTACAGAGTCAAAAGAATGAGAATTTCCTTCCCTTTTCTCTTTACGCAAAAGTTAAAGTTGAAGCACCATATATCTGAACGATGCTGCTGCTACTGGGAGAACTGGGAAAGGTTGTGTCTCTATGTACTGCTCATCTAGTCCAAGAACCATTTTAATTAGGAAAGCCTCCTTAGGGAAATCTGACTGCTAAAATCAACCCTTAGCACCAACTCTGTTAAGATGGTTCTGCTATTTTGTTCCTATTTGTCTGCGGACAGTACTGTGTGGTCTAGGCACAAGGCATTCTTTCATTGCAAAATGTTTTCAAAGATATCACAAAAAGATATTCCCTCACAAAAGACCTTCCTCCAGGTCCTGTCCCAAATCCTAGAATGGGTCCATAAACTAAAGTTCATTTTCTGGGTGAGCTGAGAACATCTACATTCTATTGAAAAGAAAGCCAAGGGTAAAAGAAAAACATGAGACTTACTACTCAAAAAGCGATTTTTAACCCATCGGTTCTGCTTCCGGGCATATCTCTTCGTCACTTGTTTCAGAGCCTCAATACCTAAAACATAAGGTATATTTAAGAACCTCTAAGTATGTACTACTAATTCTACTAATACTCCTGTCGAAAGGCAGGCCCTCCCAGCCCAGCAGAAGGGACATCTGCCATGGCAGCACACAGCGAACACGTAGTACATTCAAAGTTCAACTCTGAACTGAAGGCCGTTTGGGACTCTGCAAGCCTCAGCTCTTTCTCAGACCATACCCACAGGGCACTCTGTCACACAAGGATGTCCAGGGCTAATTAGATGGAGGAATTCACACCTTTCTTTAGAAGCTGGTTACTAGTCTCTGGTGTGCATTTTCCCTCAGTGATCAGGTACTCGTGAAATTCCTTGAAGCCAATTGATTGGAAGATACCATGTTGATAGTCCTGGCTGGGAACAAGAGAGCATCAACAGGTGAGTTACTGCATCTGAGAGTTAACAGGGGCCATGGAGGTGATCTAGCTAAACACTTTCATCTCACAGATGAGAAACTGAGATCTTCAGCAGTTATTTCCTCTCTGAAATCCTTCTTCCTTCACACCACACCAGTTCTAGGTTACTTTCCTTGGAAATTAACTCCTGGGAATGTCTGACAGATTAGAAAACTGCAACTGTAACCATATAGCAAACATCCTTCCTATAAATCTTGCCAATCCCAAGGACAAAGGCTAGTAAACAAGCAGGCCCAAAGCCAGTATTATGCTTATCTTCTTTTGACTATAAGTTAGGACTGGAAAGTAGATCAAAGTAATAGCCAAAACCTCACCTATTTTCAGCAACTTTCTTCTCATTATAGCGTCTGTGAAAATCTCTTAGTTCATCCAAGAGCCCAGCAGCAAGCATGTCATCCACCCTCTTATCCAAGCGCTCATCTAGAACTTGAATCAAATGAGCCCATCAACCAGTAAGACTCATTAGGTACCAACTATATACACTTATATGATGAAGAAAAACTGCCACAAAGAGGATTGTTTCCAAATGGAAGAAAGGGTTCAGCATCCAAAAATTCAGCATCCAAAATCCCCTGGTGGCGCAGCATTTGAGCGCTGGGCTGCAAAGCTGCCCGCAGCCTCTGCTGCACTGGTTCGATCCCCAGCCGCAGGGTGAGGGTCCCACATGGCGCGCAGACCTTTCCTGCCGCCTGCTGCTCCCCTCAGCAGTGAGAGGAGCCTGCTCTGCCTGCTCTGCTCTCCCCTCTGGCTCTGGTGAATTCTCTCACCCTCCCACTGCTGAGGGTGAGACTGTACCCACTGCTTGTATAAATAAATAAATAAATCTTTAAAAAAAATTATACAACAATTCATTTTTAGTCACACTTAAGACTCTGCAACTCCAGTAAAATGAGCCAGGATGAAGTATATGTCTTCTTAGAATATAAAGAGAAAGCATGCAATTACAGTTATTAGCAAAGACAAGTGTTTTATTCTCACATGGAATGTATATCCATCATTTATTTTAGAAGCAGCTAAGAGCCCCTCTGGTATACCTTCTTAATTTTCTCCAGTGTATTTGTTACTCTACTTTGTGTTATTTCACATTTAAGAGCTCTCAGATGACAACCTGGATAGAAGCAAGGAATTTTAATCCACAGCTATTCTAGGTATATCTTGAACTACTGAGTAGACAAAGGAATGAAGAGTAAAGGGTCACAATCCTTCAGATGTGTCATTATCACAGAAATGCTGCACTGTAGGACATTTTCATTTACAAAAATTTCATTAAAAAATTACCCGTTCTTATAAACTAATAACTGAGATTAAATTTAACCACAAATGTTCACCATTTCTTTTTTTTTTTTTTTTAAGATTTATTTATTTATACAAGCATTGGGTACAGTCAGAAGCGCGGGAGGGTGAGAGAATTCACCAGAGGCAGAGTGGGGAGCAGAGCAGGCAGAAGGACCGAAGTACACTGCTGAGGGGAGCAGCGGGCGGCAGAAGTCTGCGCACCATGTGGGACCCTCCTCCGGTGGCCGGGGAGCAGCCGGGGATCGAACCGGCGCTGCAGAGGCTGCGGGCAGCTTCTCAACCCAGCACTCAACCGCTGCGCCACCGGGGAGGCCCAATGTTCACCATTTCAAAGATGCTCTTCTATATTACTGCAATCGCATTTTCTTGGCCTATCTTCCTAAAAAGCTCACATTATTGAGAACTCAACATTTATCAGGCACATTCTGAGCACTTTGAATATATTATTAATTCTACTAATACTCCATGAAACAATGAGATAGGTACTATTATTATCTCCACTTTATATACGTAAAACTGGGATAAGGAATTTTGCTTAAAATTCATGTAGCTAGAAGATGGTGAGGGAAGAATGTAAATCCAGACAATCTGGCTCACAGACTGTGTTCTGAATCACTACACTATACAGTCCATAAAAATCTCTTCTTCCCAGATCTAGCTCTCATACATTAGCTTTATAATTGTTCTCTGACTCCCTCCAGAGAATGTATATCATCCCTTCCCTGTAGCCTCACAGCACTCTCTAGTGCTGCATTTATCACAATATAATACCATATATAACTATTTGCTGTCCCACAAGATTGGGAGCAGCTGAAGATCAGCCATAGTCTGATACTCCACCCTGAAATTCAAATACTACATAAAATACATGGCACTTCATTGAATGCTTACTGAATGCTTGTTAGATGAAGACCTCCTTCAACAGCAGCCTTTCTTGTCTTTCTCCTATGAACTTTCCCAGGATGGCAACCTCTTTCCCATTCCATCTTATCTCAACCCCTAGTATCTTACCCTAAAGAACACCTCCTCCCTTTCTAGACAAATAGCACTGTAATGGTACTGACTGACTAACGCAACAAGTAATGGCAACAATAGTAAAATTAGTAGCAAACACTTGTTTAGTGCTTATGAATCACTCAGGGTTCTAAGCATTTTATATTTAGCAATGTATTACAAGCATTACGAGGGCTTTTACCTGTCTGATCAGCATGAAGCCAGAGGATACAAGGGTTAGGGAACTTCAGAGGGCCTCCAAGAGGACTACCACCTTCTTCTGCATGTTGACGGTGAAGAAATTCACTATGAGTGATCCCTGTTTCTTCAAACACTTGCAAGCTCCTAAGTCATTTAAAAGAGAGGGGGTAAACCACTGCTACCTCAATAAAGGAAAAAGTATTAATTTGAAATAAATAAAAGGGGGGGCACACCCATAAAAACCATTAAAAATATTCTTGAAACAAGGAGAAAGGCTATTTGTCACAGAATGTCTTTTTCATTTTTATTGCATAATCCCCTGCAGACACGAAGGGCGAGGGCTGCTCCCATCCTATAGCCACTCAGAAAAGAGTCCTAAAAAACTTTAGGTGAAAGAAGAAATCATATAATTCTTCTAAACATACATAAATATGTCTAAAATCAGTTAAATAGGTTCAGAAACAACAGATTTCTTCTACACAGAAAGAATGGGGCCTACTCACTTTCAGGTAAGCAGTAAAAGTGCTTGTTTGGGACACTTGGGTATAAGCGAACATGTCTAGTCTTGCTAGAATGCCTTTCCCACAGTACAAAAGTATGTTGTATATCCAGCTCAACAACTTTCTTTTTAAATATGTCTAAAATTAATAAAGAATGCTTCTGACTAATTCAGTTCTCTACCAACACGAAGATCACTGAAGAAAGAACTCACATACTGATTCTTAAGTCACCATCCACTCTATCTATTATATTATGCAGCACTAGGTAATTTAACCCCCAAATCTATACTTTACCACTCTGGGTGATTGCAACTTATCAGCTTGAAAGTGATCTTTCCCTTCCTGACCCAATTCTACTTCCTGAAACCCTAACACTCAAAAGCAGAGACCCCTTGTCTTTCAGTGTCCTGGTCACTTGGACGGACCTATGAAGGAAAAATGTAGTGACAGACATCTGTTACTACAGATGCTACCTAGAAGTTAAAATATAGTCTCAAGATGATGGAAAAAGTCCTCCAATCCTCTCAAAGAGACTTTATAGCTCTCGCTGAGAACCAACTGATTCTTACTAACATAATTCTCAACTCACTACTTAGACATAGCAAAATAAGAAGAGGTAGTTAGAAAGAACTGATTAATAAAAGGATAGGATAATAAAGACCAAGTTCCAGAATCATAAAACAATGGAAAACAAATGTTCATCATAATGTTCCTGTTTTCCTTAAAAATGTTTGAAAGAGTTCCATTAAAATGTTTAAAATAAATGTTTGGAAGCAGACAGCTTCATAGGTTGCGTCTTAACCCCTTGTGCCACAAGGGAGGCCCTAAAAATACATCTTTAAAAATAAATAAATGTTCCTTACCCTTGCTACTATCAGATGCTGCTGTAATATTGAATCTGCTAGCTAGTCATATGGTAGGTCCTTTACTAGATCCACTTCTCTGCCAGATACAGTATCATTCCCAACACAGCAGAAAAATAAACCTAACACATGAAACTGCAATTTCAAAACAACCTAAGAAAACATGACCTTATGAGTTCATTCACCTCTTTTCCCTTCAAGAAAGTCAACATGTACAAAGGTGAGCTGATCTATGAGACAGTTTATAAAATCTGCCTCCCACTGGAAAAACTGCCGGGGCAGAACTCAGCATTGCACAATCAATTATGAAACCCAAATCACAATGTAAACCAACTGCATGCCAGAAAAATTTATATGAAAACTGTTATACAAGCAAAGATCAAATAGAAAATGAAGCAAGATTACATAGGCCCTAGGGAAAAACTATATTGTATTATGCATTTTAAATGTAATAACAAAGTAGGGTGCAACTATTTATTGAGGGAGTTGGACTGAGGCAATAACTCAGGGCCTCCCAACCTGCTGAACTAGAACACACCAATCTACACTAATTGCTATTACCAAGCCTTTCTCACCCAGGCAAACTGAAGCACTAACTGCCCCTCGACCCTAAAGGAACTGGAGTCAGCAGGCCCTGGCCTTCATACCTGGCCACTTTGCGCTTGTCGTGGGGGTGCAGTCTGGCAGCCATCTCTGGGTCCACCTGGCGCAGGCGTCTGTGGAGGGCATGGCCATCCTCCTTCTCAAGCTCTGCCTTCCGGTCAGTCACGTTTGCAGTGCCCATCTCCTGGGGCTATTAAATGAAGGTTTAGGAGTAAATTTAATCCAACAGTTCAACAAACATTGAGTCACTGTTCTGTGCCAGGCACTCTGCTAAGTGTTAGGAAAGCAGAATAGAGATCAATCAGATGGTCTCGCTATACAGGGAGAGAGATCATAATAGAAAATTCCAATACACTGTGGTGAGTGAAGTGAGACCATCATAAAAATAAAGGAGGTAGAACTTACTGATGGAAGTACTCAGGTACTCTACTTCCCAGTCAGCAGTACAAATGGGTACCAGGGCTAACACATCTATATTAACATATACAATTTAGTCTTCTCTGTGAGGGTGACCAAAGAGCGGAACAGAATCGTCAGTACGTTACAGTTTGTGAAGTCCCCTCTATGCAATATCACCTCTTTAAGAAAGATTAGTGTTGGACATCTCCCTGACAAAGATTGTTACAGCCAGGAAATGCTGAATCAGACTAATGTCCTGTTAACTTACATGGAGATGCTAATTAATCCACAGAGGAACATTTTTCCCACACACAGCCCCTGCCCTTAGGCCAGCCTGGAGAAGCACACTTCATGCAAGGAGGTGGCATTTGCTTCAGAATATTAAAGTAGGAAAATTACAGTTGCTGAGTATAAGAAGCAGGCAAGAGTCAACCTTCCTCCCACTAAAATTAGTTGGCAAGACAGAGGAACCCATTTCCTCAGTGAGTTACAAGGGAACTAAACATACCTTAGTATTGACAAGAACTTTCCAGAGCAGAGACTCAATGTAATAATTGGTTCCTCCCACGACAATAGGAATTTTGTCTCGGGCAAATATATCTTCAATGTGAACATTAAGAAAGACATCATAATATTTAACATCAAGAAGAGAAAACTGACTCACTCGAAAAGGAGGGTATGAGCAAGAAATCATGTTTGTCTGGTAAGCAAAGAGAAAGGGAGGAAACCAAGATAAAATGATACCAGTCTTTAGTTTCCCATGAGTCCTAAGAATCATTTCCTATCAGTTCTGGAGATTCAAGCATATAATACAGACAAATGCTACTGGTAATTCCTTCCAGTTCTAGAACTTGTAGGCCTTGCTGCTAAAATTTAAAGCTTTCTTCGTATTCCCAACCAGTTTAATGAACACAAGCCTAAGGGCTCTCACATGGGGGTGAGCCTAAGGGCTAGCTGTTCAGGAAGCCAAGAAGTTGACATCCATTGTGTGACTTTGCCTTCTAAGTCAAAATATAAGTTGGTTTCTCTGAACCATGGTTCTTAGACTCAGTCTCCACATTATGTGGTAGTAGCACACATTTCAGCTACTTGAGACTCTACAAGGTAAATTGAGAAGTACAGGTTCTGAAGACAGATTCCAATTACTAGCTCCAACTCTTGGACAAGTTATTCAACCTGTCTGAGCTTCAGTTTTCTCGCCTATAAAATCCTCATGAATTCTTGTGAGCATTAAATGTAACAGTGCATGTAAATTCCCTACCACAATGGCTGAAATAGTTTTTCAAACAGGGTAAGCATTCAATTTACATTAGTCACTATTATCTTTATATCCCTACTACTTTGAGTTCTTTAGAATTTCTGTTGAACAGATAATTGTTGCTGATAATTGCTAAGGGTTTTGCTTCTGAGGATAACTGATAAAAAAAGACTTTCAACTCAGGTAAAAACTCATTTGCATACATCTTCCCCTTCCCAGACAATCAATGAACACAGAGATAAAGAACTTCTTTTCTGTCAAAAGCCCACTAACCCAAAGAGGTTAGGGTGGGGTTGGATGGGGTGGAGAGAAAGGTGGTCTGGATCAAGGATCATAAAGAAGAAACACTGCCTACGTATCTTTTAAAAAGAGAAACAACTTTTATACCTGCCCACCTTTAATGAAATATAGGGAGGATATAATTACACAGTAATTGTAATAGAAGTTCAAAACATATAATATGATTAACAAAGGGAAAGGGAGCAAGGGAAATAATAGGGGAAGGGAAATTTGGTAAGATACATGAAGGGGAGGAATGGAGAAGAGGAAGGGAATGGAATATGAAATGTATGTTGGGAAAACGTTTAACTTCGTCCCAGTGATCAAACTGTGATATTGAGTAAAACCTCTCCTCTCTGAGGCTCAGTATTTAATACCTTCACCTGTCAAATCAATAAGGTTGACTGGATACTTTCAATTCTCACATTCTGATTCTAGGTTCTTAGGTAAATTCACAAATCTCCAATCATTTAAGTGATCTGTTGTTGTTGCCCTTGAAATTTTTAATTAGCTGCCCATTTTTCTATTTAGTTTTTTCTGAACAACTGAATTGTCCTATAGCAGTAATGACATTTGGTGCTATATTTTAATTTGCAAAGGGCTTTCATATACATTATCTTAGCTGATACAAGTGCCTTGTTCATCAGGTACAGCAAGAATTATTATCTGCATTTTAATCTCTGGCCATTTGATAGGCAAAAAAAAATTATCTCATGATTTTGATTTGCATGGCCCTGATGAACAGCAAGGGTAAAAACTTTTTCATGTTTTATCACCATTTGTATTTATTCCTTTGTGAGATTCTACTCCTAGCCCTTTAAGAATTTTGCATAATGATTCACAAGAGTTCTTCATTTATAAGTATAGTATTCATCTGTCTTTCCTATGCTACAAATATTTTCTGCCTGGCTTGTGATCTGTTTCTTTTTTTCAATTTTGTCTATAGTGGACTGTTTCCCCTTTTTTTATTAATTACAAAATTTTGAATAAAACACAAAAACATCTGTAACAGGTAAACTATGAAAACCTAGTAATAAAACACTCATGAACCCAATGTATTATCAATTCCTTTAAAGCTTCCTATGTATTCATTTCTATCCCAACTTCCGATTTCTCTGTTTTCTGAGGGAAACACTATTCTGAGTTGTTTTGGGTTTTTTGTTTGTTTTTCATCATTACCTTGCTTTTCTTTCCATTATTACTGCTTATTTCCATTATTACTTACAGCCTTTATAAAAACTGGTATGAACATGTATGTGTCTCCTATAATTTTCTACAATTCATTTCTGAGATTTTTCCACACTGATACATATAGCCACAATTTACTTACTGGAAAAGTACTTTATGTGAACAAAGAAAATTTTATACATTCTTCTGTGAATAAGAATTTGAGTATTTATGGGCCTCCCTGGTGGCACAAGGGGTTAAGCACCGCACTATGAAGCAGTCCGCAGCCTCTGCAGCACAAGTTCGATCCCCATCTGGCCAGCGAGCAACCCACATGGTGAAGCAGACCTCTCCTGTCTCGCCCGCTGATACCCTCAGCAATGTGTTTCAGTCTGTCTATCTGTTCTGTTCCTCACTCTGTCTCTGGTGAATCCCCTTACCCCCCACATCTCTGGCCTATATCCCAGCTGCTATATGCATAAATAAATAAATCTTTAAAAAAAAAGAATGTAAGTATTTATGTTTTTGCTACTAAGAACAATGCTATTAGGGATAAGATCAGTCACATATTTCCTGGTATATATATTGTGGCAAGGTTACTCTAGGGTAGATGTCTAGGAGTCCTGGTTGATTTATATTCTTGTCAGTACAAATTCTTACATATTCCAAACTAGCTAGTTTCCATTTAAAAAAAAATTACTTGTGGGGCCTCCCCAGTGGCTCAGCGGTTGAGCATTGGGTTGCAAAGCTGCCAGCAGCCTCTGCAGCACCGGTTCGATCGCCGGCTGCTCTCCGGCCACCGGAGGAGGGTCCCACATGGCGCGCAGACCTCTCCTGCCGCCCGCTGCTCCCCTCAGCAGTGTACTTCGGTCCTTCTGCCTGCTCTGCTCCCAGATCTGGCTCTGGTGAATTCTCTCACCCTCCCGCGCTTCTGACTGTACCCAGTGCTTGTATAAATAAATAAATAAATAAATCTTTAAAAAAAAAAAATACTTGTGGAGACGGACAGTGCTGATGGTTCCACAACAAGGTGATGGTATTTAGTGCCATTGAAATGAACACTTACAATGGTTAAGAGGATGAGTTTTATGTTATGTGTATTTTAACACAATACAAAAAAAAGAGAAAAAACAAATTTAAAAATGCTTTTAAAGAAAAACTGTACCTACAAAGCTCTTCCTTACTCTAAATCATATAACTTAGTAATATATCATCCCATTTGTTTCAAGGTTTCATTAAAAGATACATGAAGGGGGGCCTCCCCGGTGGCGCAGCGGTTGAGCGCTGGGTTGCGAAGCTGCCCGTGGCCTCTGCGGCGTCGGTTCGATCCCCGGCTGCTCCCCGGCCACCAGAGGAGAATCCCACATGGCGCGCAGACCTTTCCTGCCGCCCACTGCTCCCCTCAGCAGTGTACTTCGGTCCTTCTGCCTGCTCTGCTCCCCGCTCTGGCTCTGGTGAATTCTCTCACCCTCCCGCGCTTCTGACTGTACCCAGTGCATGTATAAACAAAACAAACAAACAAATAAATAAATAAATAAATAAAACATGCCTCTATTTAAAAAAAAAAAAAAAAGATACATGAAGGGGCTTCCCTGGTGGCACAAGGGGTTAAACACCACAGTATGGGGCAGTCCACAGCCTCTGCAGCATGAGTTCGATCCCCAGCCAGCCAGGGAGCAGTCTGCATGGTGAAGCAGACTTCTCCTGTCTTGCCTGCTGCTCCCCTCAGCAGTGTATTTCAGTCTGCCTGTTCTGTTCCCCACTCTGTCTCTGGTGTGTCCTCTCACCCCCCCGCATCTCTGGCCTATACCCCAGCTCACGTATGCATAAATAAATAAATCTTAAAAAAAAAAGATACAAAGATTTAACTCAAATTGATCAAGAATTTATGTCATATAGGAGGACTTGTTTTTATTTTATTCCTGGACCAGTAACTGTCACTGACACAATTATAAACAATATTATTTTTCCATTGTTTTGAAATGCTACCCTCATCATAAGCTAAATACATACATTTACATTAATTTATATCTCAGTTTTCTATTTTGTCCATAGTGTAAACATATTTTTATATAAATTTGTCTAGCATTATGTAAGTTCCACAGTATTAAAAATTATTCTGAATTGTCAATGTATTTTAATTTCCAGCATTATAGATATTAAAGGCAGGATAGATATTAAAATAAAAGGGCTGTCCCCAACGTTATTCTCTTTTCAAAAATTTCTTGGTTACCCAGAACTAATTTTTTCCAGTCCTCCCCGCTCAATAAACCCTTTGAAACTAACTGCAACTTCACTATACTTTCAAATTAATTTCATAACCCCATTTAAAGGGTGAGAAACTGAATTTCAGTGGGAAAAATTATTTTCTCACAAAAATTCACATGGCCCAAAGATGCAGTAATAAGACTAAAACACAGATTTTCTGATTCCTCAATCAGAAACTCATTACTAAAACAGTGCTTCTCAAATTTTACAGTGCATGTGAATCACTCAGAGCTCTTATTAAATGGATCTTGATTCAGTACATCTAAAAGTGAGACCCAAATTCAGCATTCCAGCAAACAGATACTGGTGCTGCATCGGAGGACAGAGTGAGCAGCAAGAATACCCTATTTTTCAATCTATATATCTTTGATGAGGATGCTACTTTCTGGTCTTGAGTGCTACTGCTTAGAAGAAACTGTCACTAGGAGAAAACTTTCTTGGTTTGGGGTATCCTGCATACCCAAGTCTAGGTGTTGTCTTTTCCAAGGATATCAGAGCAGTCGCCTTGTTCCTGAAGTCCACCACGGTGTAATTTGTCACAAGAGGATCCACAAAGCTGATCATGTGGTGCTGGCACATTCTCTGCTCTTGGGCAGAAACCTTGTTGGTGATGATGTCTAGGCCTTCATAAACCTAGGGGGGAAATTAACATGAGAAAGTCATCTAGCTCCAATAAATGCGTACTTGATGGGTGGGAATGGTAATCTGTTCCTCTCTCCACTACACACTTGACTGACCCAAAGCACCCGAGTAGACATTTCTAACCAGAGCACAGTCACAATCACAAAACCCAAGATACAAAGGAAGCAGAAGAAAATAGAACCTTGGCTTTCTTGTCAAATTGTGGCTATTAGCTCAGACTTAAAGATAAAAAAGCTATGTAAATCAGTGGCACAGTGAAAACTAATTCTGCAAGATTATCTGAAGGTCCTTTCGGCTTGAACTTCTCAAGCATTTAAAAACGGGCAGGTTGTTTTATTTATTCTACTTATCACAAGGCTCCAGAAAGGTAACATTTTGCATTACTCATAGTTCTACTTCAAATGTTAAATATTTCTTGGATTTAAATAGCTCTGAGTAGCTTTTAGAATTTGTGTAAGATTGGCTCCGTTTATGGAGAGGTGGCCTATCTACAAAGATATGTATAAAGCACACACATACACATTTTGAAGTCAGAACCTCTAATACTGATCCACTCTGGTAGAAACACTGTGATCTATCCAAATTACTGCTTCAGGGGGTCAGCACATAGAGTCTAAAGACTCAAAGGCAATATCCTGTCTGTAAGCTCTTGATCTGCCAATTCAAGTGAAAAGTTCAAGTGTACTTTTTCTAAATTCAAGGTCTCAGATGACGAACAGATCTGAAAATACTAGTTTGAAAATAGGGATGAATGCTTTGAGATTTAATGTTCTCTCTGTAATCACTGATTCTACAGAGAGAACTGAATGAACAAATAATAAGTTCCATAAAGCCCACAAAGACGTTAAAAGCATTTTTTATCTCACATTTCCCTTTACTTATACGGGTGTCAAATACGTACAGCACAGTATAATGGTTAGGAGGGAAGACCATGGTGCCATGCTGCCTCAGATCAATTCCTGTCTCTGCCGTTTACTAGTTATATGTACTTGGCGCAGTCAGTCGCTAACATCTCTGTACCTCTATCCCTCATCAGTAAAATGACAGTAAAAATAATATCCATCTCCTAAAGTTGTTGCGAGCATTAAATGAGTTAATACATGTAAAGAACTTAGCTTTTGCCTGAACTCTGTAAATGCTATGTAACAGCCATTATATTATCACCTGTATTATGATTACTTCCACTACTGATATCACAGTAAAAAATAATTTTAGTGTCACTATTTTTCACTGTGAAATCTCTGTGCTTTTAGCTACTAAAGTTACTTACCCAACAGGAAGAAAACTATCTTCAAATTAACAAAAATTGCTAATTAGTAGTAAAACAGCACACAGGAAAAGTTATAAATATAACCACAGGGTAGTTATCAGTTCTATCTTTGACTCATTTGCTCTGCCTGACCATGGAATTATATTCTTTTTTTTTAAGATTTATTTATTTATACAAGAATGGGGGTATGGGTCAGAGGCGCGGGAGGGTGAGAGAATTCACCAGAGAGAGCGGGGAGCAGAACAGGCAGACAGACCAAAGGCACTGCTGAGGTGAGCAGCTGGGGAGGCAGGAAAGGTCTGCCATGCCATGTGGGTTTCTCCCTGGCCAACCGGGAATCGAACCCAGGCTGCAGAGGCTGCAGACAGCTTCACAGAGCAGCGCTCAACCTGCTGCGCCACCAGGGAGGCCCTGGAATTATATTCTTATGCCTGAATGTTGGTGAAATCTTAAGTCATGGGGTGTTCTTTTCTGTGCATCTTGAATAAGACTGCCTTCTGACATGATAAAGTGCTATAGAGTATACTGTGGTACTAGGATCTACTGTGCAAATCAAAAGGAGCAAAAGAGTAAATAATTATGTTTTCCTCTTCCTCTTTTCCCAAAGCTTTCAGATGGTTCTGTTGTAACTTAAGAATTCTAAATGACCCATTTTTAAAGAATTTATATAGCAACAGCTTGATTTTGCCAGTAGAGGATTTCTGTAAATCCATTTCTGTAAATGGATTCTCATTTTTAATCTCAATCTCATTTTTAACACTGAGATTAATGTTAAGGAAACACAGTTGCAAACATACAGTTACTACCTCCCTCTAAAAAAGTCAAAAGCTAAATAAACTTTCATCCTGAGACCTGCCTTTAGATAGGTGTATCTTCTAAAGCCCCTTAAAATGACAGCCACAAATAAAACAGAAGGCAACCCCAGAATGAGGCTCATCTTATTTACAAACAGAGGTGACTTACTATACTGTTGATGGTATACACAAATGCCAGCAAATATCAGAAAGAAAAAAAAAAAAGCATGAATGGATTAAAGCAGAGTTCATGCATATACAGTTAAACTAAAAATTCTAACTCATGAAAGTACTACATCTTCATTACCAACAACAATTGTCAGTTTACAATGATTTGAAACCCTCTGCTTTCTGTACATTCAGATTTAAGGAGACTGGGCATAAAAACATGGGTGATAACTAGATATTTGATAATGGAAGAATTACTGTTAATTTTTAGGTATAATATGGTTTTATGGTTATAGTCTTAAAAAAAAGAAAAAAAAAGGCCTGGCCTACCTGGTGGCACAGGGGTTAAGACGCAACCTATAAAGCTAGCCTCAGCCACTGCAGCATGAGTTCGATCCCCAGCCAGGGAGCTACCCATATGGCGCAGCAGACCTCTCTTGACTCATCTACTGCTCCCCTCAGCAGTGTATTTTTGTCAATCTGCCTGTTCTGTTCCCCACTCTGTCTCTGGTGAATCCTCTCACCCCCCGCATTTCTGCCTGTACCCCAGTTCTTGTATGCATTAATAAATCTTTAAATAAAAAAAAGCCCTCAACTTTGAAGTATATACAATATAATGAAGAATACATGAATGAAAGTGTGTAATATCTTTTATTTTTTATGTATTATTTGTTTGTTTGTTTGTTTTGTTTATACATGCACTGGGTACAGTCAGAAGCGCGGGAGGGTGAGAGAATTCACCAGAGCCAGAGCAGGGAGCAGAGCAGGCAGAAGGACCGAAGTACACTGCTGAGGGGAGAAGCGGGCGGCAGGAGAGGTCTGCGCGCCATGTGGGACCCTCCTCCGGTGGCCGGGGAGCAGCCGGGGATCGAACCGGCGCTGAAGAGGCCGCGGGCAGCTTCGCAACCCAGCGCTCAACCGCTGCGCCACAGGGGAGGCCCAATATCTTTTATTTTTTAAAGAAACTGGAGCTGATTCAAGGTTATGTCTATAATGATGTTGCTTTACTTTCTTCCATTCTGATGATTTATTTTGATAGTTACTGACATGCTGTTATAGTTGTGCTTACAAATGACTGTGCAACTTGTGATCATAGCTACTTCTGTGTATTTTTAGAGTTTACCCATGAATAGATTTTTTCTTTGTTTAAAAAGATTTATTTATGCATATAAGAGCTGGGGTACAGACCAGAGATTGTGGGGGGTGAGAGGATTCACCAGAGACAGAGCAGAGAACAGAACAGGCAGACTGACTGAAATACACTGCTGAGGGGAGCAGCAGGTGAGTCAGGAGAGGTCTGCTTCGCCATGTGGGTTGCTCTCTGGCTGGCCGGGGATCAAACTCATGCTGCAGAGGTTGTGGATTGCTTCATAGTGGGGTGCTTAACCCCTTGCACCACCAAGGAGACCCCCCCACCATGAATAAATTTTTAACAAGCAAAAAGAAAAGGATAAAGGACATATATAAAATACATCTATATCTGCATTGCATGAGAGGAAGAATGATGCTAAGAAGACACCTGTTAATAATAATGCAAGAGCTATAATCACTAAATCAAAGGCAGAGCAGTGATGCAAGTAAATTTTGTAATAACAATTCATATTAATAACATTAAATTTTGATTTTCTACATTTAACAATAAAAAAGTAGTATATGATAACTGAAGTCAACATTCTGATAATGGGAAGTAGAGAAACTTAAAGTCTCAGTGCTATTAAGCTATCACCAGCCACTGCCCAAGTTCAATCCTGATCCCAGCCAGGGAGCTGACCCACATGGTGCAACAGACCTCTCCTGACTCACCCGCTGCCCCGCTCAGCAGTGTACCTCAGTAGATCTGCTTGTTCTGCTCCCCATCTGTCACTGGAGAATTCTCTCACCACCACCACCACCACCACCGCACCCCCCCACCTTTGGCCTACACCCCAGTTCTTGTATGCATAAATAAATAAAAATAAATCTTTTTAAAAAAAGAAAGGAGGGGGAAGGAGGGAAGGAAGGAAGGAGGAAGGGAAGGAAATAGGGAGAAGGAGGAAGGACAAATATTGGAGGATAGAGAGAAACTGGAGCCCTGTACACCACTGGTAGGCAAAAAAAGTGATTCATACATGTGAAAAATAGTATTGTAGCTCCTCAAAAAAGTCCACTTCCGGGAATCCAAAGCAGAGTCAAACAGATATTGATACAAACGTGTTTACAGAAGCTTTATCACAATAAAGGTGGAAGCAACCTAAGTATCCATCATGGATGAATGGATAAACAAAATGTGGTGTATCCACACAATGGAATCTTATTCAGCCTTATAAAGGAAACTCTGACACATGCTACAACATGAATGAACATTGGAAACATTATGCTAAATGAAATAAGCCAGTTACAAAGAGAGATATTGTATGATTCCACTCTATGACGTAACAAGAATAGTGAAATTCAAAGGCAGAAACTATTAATATAATGTGGTTGCCAAGAGCTGGGGAGACAGGAATGGGTAGCTAGCGTATAATGGGGTATGAATTTCAGTTTGGGAAGATGAAAAAAGTTCTGGAGATGGAAGGTGGTGATGGTTGCAGAACAAGATGCTTAATCCCACCCAAATGGTAAATTTTGTTAAGTATATTTTACCACAATAATACAGACTTGGATACTAGATACTAGGTATAATGACAAACTATTTGATAGTAAATATTAGCAGTGAAATATCATTTTCAAATTTTGTTGCATCATTCAAATCTTTTAAATATGTACCTGCCTGTGGAGTT